CATTACCAAAGCATCAACACAGCTTACCATCCACAGCAACAACAACCAACTCATCATCTTCATCAAATTATCCATCCAGTCCTTATTATAGTACAACAGCTTCAAGTTTATATCCAAATCCAAGTCCATCATCTTCTCAATCAGCTTTCAATCGACCATCTTTACATTCTCTCATTATACCTAATCAACCACAACAAATCCATTCACCTCCACCTGACCAACTTCAACAAGAACCCTCAGGTTTACTTTCACCTCATTTCAATCATCGATCAGAAGCGATTCGAAATAGTACAGCTACTTTTGCTACTGATTCAACTGATTATGTTTGGGATAGAGATGATGATGATGATGACGATCAAATTCCAAATGATCATCAGAATCCACATCCTTATCGTCAAGCCCTTCCAGCTTCAATGTTACGTAGACCATCTGAAGGTCGGGTGACTAGATCTAGAGTTAGAGCAGAAGAACCAACTGAAAGAATCTCAAGTGTTTATGGAGAACAGGAATCTGTGACAGATGAGAATGCATCTGCTGATCCACATGCTTATCTCTATCAAGAAGAAGAAGAAGAAGAAGCTTTAGAAGTCTTAGGTTCACAGCAAGCTCGTTCACCGCATGATCATCATCAGCCTCATCGAACTGAACAGTATGATGATGAAGATGAAGATGATGACGATGAGGATGATGATGAAGGAGGCCATTCGATACGATATGAGAGTGGTCAGAGTCTTAGTTCTATGAATCCATTTCAATACTCTGTAAGTTTCTTTTTTTCAATCGTCTTGTCTCTTGACTGAGTTTATAAGCCATCCAAACAACCGTTACCATGAACTTTTGGACTGAATCCTTTAAAGTTCAAATCGAAATCATTCAGGCTGTGATTCGATTGAATTCACAGCGACTGGATTGGTCAGACTGATGGATTGAACAGCAATCCTCTTGACCTGTATCTCATCGCCATCTTGATTTCACTCTTTGACCCTGACTACCCTTACTCCTATATAGTCAAACTGTTACCCCTTGATGACTTTCTTCGCTCACCCATTGCTTTTTGAATTTTACCTTTATAGCATTACGAAAGTAATCGAATTCCAACCACTGCAGTCAAATCTGTTAACTTTCCTACAATCCAAACTCATCAAGCTGTTGCACACAATTCCACCATCATCACCAACGGTCAACAAGACAGGTCGCAGAACTTTAACGATCAACATCAACATCATCACCATCAAGCACAACAACAAGACATGTTACAAACCCCTATCAGTCTCAGTGGTTCATCTCCTCAATCTGGTTTACCTTCTCTCGGGAACCCACATGAGCGAGTTCGAAACTTTAGTAGACCACTTCGACCAAGTATGATTGTCAAGGTCGCTGAAACTGATTTACCTACTCCACCACCTTCGAGACAAATTTCACCTAGTAATGCTAAACCTCCTAGTCACATCGGTCGTACAAGAGCCTCGACCACCACTTCTCGTTCTTCAATTCAATCTAGTAGTAGTTCAAACGGAACAAGACGATCTTGGAAGCACCCATTTGCTAAACGCCGGCCTGAATCACTTCAATCAAATCGAGAAGAGGAAGAACAAGCGAGTGCTGATAGAAGAATTCTTGATTGTTATGATGCTGTGGATAGGATGACTAGAGGAAGTCAAATTCAACAAGAACATCATTCAACACCTTCAATCACCTTCAATCACCCTGCTTATACAGAGGAGGTCAACAGACCATCCCATTACGATTATCAAGGATCATTTGACCATCAACGAAACTACGACCCTCGAGCTTCTCAACTGAGTTCAACTCCATCTAACTACGACCAAAATCGAGATAGTGGTAGTGCTTATGAAATGGCCTATGAAGGACTTGGAAAAGGACCGACATCTAAAGCTAAATTAGATCACCGACTTTCGATTTATTCATTACCAAAAGATGATTTATCTATTGAACAAAGATTAAGCAAAGATCGATATATGTCAAGATCACCTGTTTCTTCAGTCAGAAACTCACCTCGTTCTCAATCACCAATTCAAACTTCATCACATATAAATCATTCTTCTAAACTATCTAAAAATTTGAGACAATCACAATTACCACCTGCAATGGCTAAAGCCAAAGCTGGTCTAGCTAATTTAAATGCAGGAGGAAGTTCGAATGGAGTGATGAAAAACCGAACAGCAGAAGATTATCTACAGTTAGGTATAGATGCACATGAAAAAGGTGAAATGGAAAGATCTGCTGGGTTTTTTGAAAGATCTGCAAGGGAAGGTGGTGGATGTGGCACAGGAATGTTAATGTGGGGATTAGCATTGAGACACGGTTGGGGATGTCAAGTTAATGAGACTAGAGCGTTTAAATGGTTACAAAAAGCAGCTGAAAGTGTGGTTGACGAAGTGGAAAGAGTCAAGGCTGAAGGTAAAGATGAAGCGTTTGCCGTGAAGAATGAGTTGGTCTTGGCGGTTTATGAACTTGGTCAATGTTTTATGAGAGGTTGGGGTTGTAAGAAAGATAAAGCTTTGGTTTGTTTTTTGTCCTTATTTTTGCTTTGGGGTGCGGCTATTGATTTGTTTTTTTGACGGTTTATGATAGGCTATTAATTATTTCGAGTTAGCTGCAAAATTAGGAGATCCAGATGCTCAACAAGGTAAGTAACACTTATATTTTTCACCATTTTTGATCGAAATTAAACGTGATTCCTTTCTTTCTTTGGTATTAGAGTTGGGTTTTTGTTATTCTAATGGAAAAGGAACAAAGAAAGATTTAAAGAAAGCTGCAAAGTATTATAGAATGGCTTCTAAACAAGGAATTGAAATGATGGGATCTCAATGGATTTGGAAATCAAAGGTTGGTTTTTTGATCTTCTTTTTTCAGTTTTGAACACTTTTGATTGATTTTTTCCTCTTCGTTGTGGGTTGCTTTGTAGTATGATTGATGATTCCTTTGGGATGTTTTGGGGATTAGGAGGAAGTAGAAATTTTGCAAGGTTTTTTTTTGTGGTTTTGAGATGCTTCCACTTTCATGCTTCTGATCTTTTTTTTTCGTCGTTTTTTCTCTCTCTCTTATTTCTCTTTTTTATCGCTTTATGAAAGTTGCATATCACATTATATACCCACAACGTTTTTTCTTTTTTTCCCTTTCGTTTCTTCCTTTTGGTGTGATTTTGGATAGAAGAAGAATGAAATGATTATGATTGCGTGTGTGTGTGTGTTTTAAAGAAATGAAGATATTTCTAAGGACTTGTTTTACTTTTACCTCTTTTTTTTTACAAAAAACTTTATTTATTTATTTTATTCACATCTGATCTTCTTATAACTTACACTCATTTTGATTTTGATTTTAATTTTGATTTCGATTTTAATTTCTTTTTTTTATGCTGAAGATTATTTTGATGTGTGTTTTTTTAGGTTTCTTTTTTCGTATTTTCTCTTTTGAAATGATGTTTTAATGTTTTTTTTACAAAAAAAAAATTATCATTGGAATGGACTTCTTGATTTGATTTTGAATTGCAAGTTTATTCATTTCATTTCTTTTTTGAAAATGATTAGATAGCAAAATCCATGATATAGGGTCTACAGCAGTGCTATGTATTGATTCTTTTTGTGCTACTTGACATTGGTGTTACATTAACTCATCATTTTAGGTGATATTTAGAAGTGCCTTTGATATTTTTGAAGATCAATTGGTCATGCATATGTGTTTGAAGAGAGAAAGAGATGAGAAAGAATCAGAGAGAGTTTTTGAATTACTGATTCTTTCTTGTTGAAGGTTCATGGTTTTGTAAAAAAAATAGAACTAAAGATTTATGGGATACAAAGCCCAGATATTTTCTGGCAGTAAATTTGAATTCTGGGCCCGGACTCTTGCCCAGAAAATCAAAATTTACTGCCAAAATAATTCCGGGAACGTGCCCGGATTCTACTTTGTATCCCAGGATGACCAGAATCCCTTGAATTTTTACCTTGCTCCTCTTTGGCCTCAGAGGTCATGTTGGTAGTTCAATACATCATTAAGAAAATAATTTTGTTAACAATCAATTCAATCATTGACCTCTTGAAATCTGAAAAGAATTGTTTGGTTCATTTTTCTTGGGACTTATCATGGCCCTACTCCAAAATTAGAGCCCATGATGCACTTAATTTCCATATGCTGCACTTCACTGTGAGATAGATCAGACAGTACCTAGGCCAAACCTCCTTTGTTTTACTGTGTGGGTGAGTTCTGATTTTGATTTCATTTGTTGAAGTACAGTTCATAAAACATTTGTTTTGATGTTAGATGTTGAATCAGTTCATGATGGTTGATTGGCCATTGTACAGTATGGTGTAGCCTCAAGTACATAGTTAACATAAATTGTATTTTTAATGGAAGGTGTATTTACACAGTCAATAGGTATTTTGAGAGATGCTTCAAGCTGAATGTATTAAAAAGTAGATACATATGTGAATTTTCATCTGTGGATCCAGATGCATGTTTCTTAACAACTTCTTGTTCATTGAGCAAAGCATCTCCTCATAAGGTGCTGATGCCCATACTGTTTGTATGCATTGAATCATGTTGCAAATGTGAGGAGGTGAAGCAACAAAAACAAAGGTGGTTAAGGGTGGTAAGTGGTGGGCGCTGGCTGCAGCAAGGCTTGACTGTAGGTTAGCGTGGGGACATTGGTGGCTGAGATTTTCAGCGGAAAGTGCAGCAACCAAAGAACCTGGGCCCCAGATGTCAGCAGGAGGTGCAACACACAGCAACACACTGGGTCTATGTAAGCTCCCCATGAGGCAGCGTATTGGCTGTGCCATGCTGCACTGCACAATTTCTCATGATGTGCTGCAAGCCAGACTTGCCAAAAAGTAAGCCTCAGTAAGAGCATCTCCTATTGTCTTGGTAAATGGCCTCAGTACGGTATACTTGACCGTATCAAGCGTCAAAATCCCCAATCGTGTCAAAAATACTGCTTGGTACCTACTGAATCGGTGAAAAATCTGTAGAGGTCAAGTAAATTAACTGGACCTCTACCAATTTGGTATCTGCGGGGAAACCATTGTTCTCACCAGTTGGTACTGTACGGAGGCCCTTTTTTTCAACGATAGTGGATTTCCATAGTTCTGTACCAATTGATACTGTACCAAACAACTACATACTGAAAATTTACTGAAAATTTACTTGAACAATAGGAGATGCTCTAACCAAATTAAAAATCCTAGCAACATGTTATTATTGGATAGATTTGGATACAAAACACTTATTATGTGATATCTAATCAACAATCTGAGACCATGCCCAATTCTCATAGATACTAAGCAGGCCCCTATAGATTTATTTGGTGTAATCATTTGCAAGAACAATCTCCAAGACCAAGTATACCTAGGAAATCTGAAGCATACATAGTATGTGTGCAACAGCAAGATCAAAGCCATACCATCACATTCCAATTTTAAAATATTTCTATAACTCTCACTGGGATCTCAGCTTGATGGCTGTTTGTGATGCACTAAGTATTTTATGTTATCAACCTTGATGCTCATATGTAGTGTGTCATTCTACGCATTTTGTGGACCACATGGAGATACATGGAGACCATCAGGGTTTCCAAATACCAAAAACTGTATGTATCATCATTACATGCTAATAAACAAACTGCAAACCCTTTACCTTCATGTGTGGGTTACCAGGTGACAGGTCCAAGGCTAAAAGACAGCTGGCCTCCCAAAAATAGATAAATTCAAAGTATCCTCAGCCCAGAAAGTTGTATAATTTCTTGTGAAGTCTTCCCTGTAGCTGAGCTCACATAAATATCTTGTGAAACACTGGCAATTTGATTGTTTGTCTCAATTCCACTCAATTTTTATACTCATCAGTGGCTACTGAGGATAAAGTCCTCCACTTTTCTCTCATTCTGTAACAAACAATTGAACTAAATCTGATCTTTGTGCACAAGGCTTGTGTACCTGTAACTCAAACTAGAAATTCAACCCATTTCTGAAATCTAAAAAGCAAATCCAATTGGAGAATGTTTTTGATTTGAAACAGAAGACAATCTTTGTTACCTATTTTCCTATACTATTATTACCCACACAACTAATTTGTGGATGGTTGATTTGAACTGTTACACCAGCTCATCATTCCTTAATCAAACATCTCATCTGTTTTATATACAGTATAGTACTCTGTGCTTGGCAGTTTGTAAATTGATTGGTATGAGACACTGTTTCATCACGATATAAAACATTGTTCCACAAATTTATTTGACACAAGCAAGAACATCATACATTATGAAAATGCTGACCGCCCTCTTAAATATCCATCCTTTGATTTAGAAAATCCCTTTCTGAAAACCCATCAATTAATAATTCCAGCAATGAATTTAAAGTGCATCTCAAAATCTTTAACCTTTTTTTTGTTCTACAGCTTTAGGGCACTCTGCACGAAACCAACATCATCAAGTATCAAAGATAGTTTCTGGTCAGGCTATGATTTCACTCCTGAAACAAATTATGAGGATCCAGAATTACAACACCAAATCAAAAATCCTCCAGGTAACAACATACCATACCTCCAGGGGCAAACTTCCTGGTCAGATCATGATGGAGCAACAATTCCAGACAGATCAGCCCAATTTGATTCATACAAGAATGATTTTGAGGACCTGGTTCATGGGTTTGGGATAAACAATCCAGCATACAAATTTGAAATTGAGAACAATAAGCAAAGTGATATAGGGACTTCAAGAACTCATGAAGTCATTGTGCCGCTAGATAATGGATCCAAATCAAGATATTCTCACAATCCTACTCCCAATTTCTTCTATGAGCCTCACTCTAGGAATTTTGAAAAATTCAATGAAGAGACTGCACTATTACATCCTCAAAGCTTACACTTTGGCCAAGCAAGCCAATGTGAACTTCCAATGCAAGAAATTGGGCCACACCTAGATATATTAAACAATATTCAAAATATTGATTCACTTTCAAGTATCAATGATTTTATCCACAAACCAGATTATCTGCACTATGGGCTGAACCAACTCCCATACTCATTCCAAGATCAAACTGTCCACCATTCTCATGCAAAAGAAGACTGGTCCAAGGACAGTCTTATCACACAAGACAAATTTCAAGATTCCTTTTCCAAAAATAGTTCTGAGGATGATCTTGGTAAGGTGGAACCACCTAAATACAGTTCTGGACATGACCACAAGATTACTGAAGTTGGTATTTCAAAGACAAACACAATGTGCCACCTCCAGAATACAAGCAAATTTTTGTCATACCCCAGTCATGCTTCTAATTTGTTGCATGAACCCTTCCATACATCCCCAGGCTTTCAGACATTTACCAAAGAAAATGGATTGCCTCTGCATGAACACCTATACTTTGACACAGGAAGTTGGGTTGAAATTCCATTGCAAGAGATCCCATCACCATCCAATTCATTAGACAGATCTAAGGTGTTGGGTCCTTTCCAGGTAAAGAGTTTTGGAGTGTCAATGCCAATTCTTGATCAACATCTGGTAGATCTTGATAAGAATGATAAGTCATGTCAAACCTCACTTGAATTTGATGAGGCTAATCCATTCAGAGGGACTGAGGAAGAATTGCAGAATATGAAAAGTCTTTTGGAACCAAACCAAAAGAATCATCAGGTTCAAGAGGAAAGGACTAGGGATGAGGAACCTGGAATAAATCAGCCTCTTCATGACAAGGATCCTGTATACAGTGTTAGAGAAGAATCAGGACGGAAAGCCAAAGTTTTTAATTTATCTGGCACATTGCCATCATTGAATCCACTGCAAGGAATCAAGATTGGAAAAAAGAGCCTACTACCAGAGATTGAATTGGATCATATTCAAAAAACTACCAGCACACATATTCTTCCATGTTCTTCAAACCTGGCACATTCTGATGAACACAGTGGAGCAATATTACCAAAGAAAAGGAAATTGCATCCCTTGGTAAAATTCAAAGATCTTAAAACTCAAAATGATCATGCTTCAACCAAAACACATTTGAATTACTCACCTACTGAAAATAAATTCCAAGCTTCTATGGAAAAACAGAACATAAAATCCACAAAGTCCAGTCAAGTAAGACAGGTATTACAAACCCTTAAACAGATAGGTTCATTCAATGTTGATAATTCACTCACTATCTCTTATGAAACATCTCATTGGTTTCTGGACCTCAAGACTAAAATGATAGGCAACTCTCCTGGGAATCAATCCTGGATTAGGCAGGTTTCTTTAGCCACAAAGCATGCTCACTCATACATCACCATGACATTCCTTGCACTTCTGTCCATCTATGATTCAGTTGCAAAAGATCAGACCTCAATTGATCAAGTCCTAAGAGATGGTTGGGAATTTCTCAAATCATATTTTGAAAAATGGGAAAATATAAAGTTTGAATACAGGAATATCAAAGGGTTCAAGAAAACCAAAAAAATTTATGAGGCAGGTGATTGGCATGACCATCATTTTGTGTTTCAACACCTTGCTAAATTAGACTCAGAAAAAAATATGAGATCAGAAATATTGAAATCCATTGTTGATGAATGGAGAAAGTACAGAGAAGGCCCAGAGATTCCAATTCAATCACCAGAACTACTACTACAGGATATCTTGAATTCATATCAACCTGGGCCAGCTTTTATTTTGGGTGGATTCTTTTCAAGAGGTGATGTAAAAAACCCTCAATTTGAACATATTAATAGCCATTTGTCATTGAAATCATACAGCAAGGAGAAAGCTAGAGCAATGGGATGTGTACGTATAGCCAATTCAGCAAACTTCATGTCACAAGAAGGTTTTCCATTATGTCAAGAAGTTCATAAATTCTTTCTTTCTTTGATGCAAAGCCTACTGGATAATTACAGAAGCATGAATGGATGTGATGTTCCTATAGAAGAGCTAACACTATGGGATCAATCTCCTATTCAATCCAATGTTGAAGGGAGGCATAAGTCAAATATGAAAAAAATTGTCAAAGCTGTCAGTATTGCTGAATACAAGGTAACAGTAGGATTTATAGGGATAGTGAGAGAATTGTACCAAAGAGATCTAGCAGAGGATGATCTCAGGTTACTCATTTCAAATGCATGGGAATTCTTGAAAATCACATTTTCAGAGTGGGAGGAATTCAAATTTGAAGATGAACACCTCCAGATGTACTTTACTCCACTAGAAAAACGGCCATATTCAGACCTCTATTGGTCTGATGCCAAAAGGATATTTCATGGCCTTTGGCAGATTCCACTCTATGAAACTTGTCCAATCCCGATCACATTGTTGAGAACCCTCTTCAAATCATGGAGCAAGGCAGTCTGGGAAACCAATTTCAACACAGGAGTTATTCCAGGCTTCAAAACCAAGAACTTATCCCACAACTACTTTGTAGCAAGAATAAACAATCTTGATTTAAGAGCAAAAGTATGGCACTGCGACAAATCATCAGATTCTATTTGAATAATTTTCCTATCTAGATACATTTAGCTCCATCTCAAATATTCTTGGGTCATACAAGACATACAAGATATCACCACAGACACTGATCTCATGCTTTTGAACACCAAAATGGCCTACTTTCTACTGGCTGTCTCAATTCAGTTTCCATGAAGTTTGCGCAGGCACTGGATCAGGCTTTAGACTCAAAAGAAGAGATTTTGCATTCCTCTGTGCAAATTCCTGTCATCTTTACTCCTTCATCATAAGTATTTGATCAACTGTTTCCCACACACATATAATTTAGTGCCAGATCACCCTCACATTTTGAGGTGGTCCTTGATGTGATAAGATCTACTGTAAGCTCTCACAGTTGATGTATGATTTAAACCTTGTAAACCCCTTTGACTATACAATCAAAGCATCAAAAGTTGAATTTCCATGAAACTGTATATGTTGGCTTTTCTATGGTGATACTTAATCCAACAGCACAGGCTGTGGGAATTACCCAAGGCTGTGGGTGTTACCCATTGTCATTACATTATAAGAGTTGCAACATTGATGTATTTACCTTGTATCGAGGGTCTTGGTAATTGGTGCCCACCTGAATTGATGACACCACCATGATTCTGGTGCCTTCCTTCTGTTTTCCAGGGGTATGTTCCACAACAAGGCACCTACATATGTCAATCTTCCCATGCTGGGTAGGTGTGGTAATTATGATGCCTACCTAGTTACAGTTGCAGGTATGCATCAGCAAAGGGTGCCTGCCCAGGTAGACATTGTATTCTGACGCCTACATAGCTTGTATGACTTGTAGGCATTGTTTTTTGATGCCTAACTGGCTATCTGGACATGTGGGTGTCATTGTTTCAACACCTACATGGGTTTTAACCAATTCAAGGGCCTTTTACAGCGCCTACACAGTCCTCAAGGCATGCAGGGCTCCTCAGATCATGCCTACGTTGTCAAAGTACATGTAATATTTGTGTACACAAGTCGTTGTAAGTATTTTGATGGTCAAAAAAGACATGTAAACTGAATACAAGTATTTTTGTGGTTGACAAAGACACATACATGAAATACAAGCATTTCAGTGCTTGACAAATACAGGTAAAGTGACCACAAGTTCATTGGTTGGCAAAAATAGCTAAAGTATATACAAGCATTTTGGTGGTTGACAACCCAAGTGCAACTGTATCAGTCTTTTTCTGAGACTATCCTGAGATTATCAATAATGTATCAGAATGATGTGGCTTGTTTTTCACTCATTGCCACTACAAGAAATGTAATATTTTCTGGGCAGAAAACATAAATACTGATACACAAAAACATTGAGCAGTCATGAGCAAGAGAGAAAGAGATACAAAAAATATGCATATTGTTCTCATGGTTCAGACCTTCAATATGGCCAATTTATGTACTTGTAGAGTTCAAATTGGTGATTGTACTAACAAAAAACCTCCACAATCATCAAAATACCACCTGTAACAGATATTGGAATTTGGTTTGTGGGTGACAAGAGGATCTCTTGAGTTCTACAATACCTCATATCTTTTGCAATTCTTGTGCAAAATACTAGATCTTTAGCTCAGAACTCTGTGAGTATATGTTCCATCCAGACAGCAAGGTTATTGACCTGGAACCTCATATTTCATGCAAGATTCAACTAGAATGAACAAAATTTCCAGAAAAATGGGATTCAATTCATTTATTCTTGGACAATGAACTATTCCAATCATTCAAAGAATAACCAACTATAGAGCAAACAAGTGCTTTTTAAAGAAGAATGGGATATATAAAATAATTATCAAATGAGTATAAATGCAGCTAATAAAATCAATTAAAGACAATAGGGGGTTTCAAGTTGATTTGTTTTTTGCATATCTCTTTACAATCACCATGTAAATATCCTTGTAGCACGTCAACGTGCACACACAAAAGACTTTCCTTAGACCTTGTAAAGACCCATCAAAGAGGTGCCACAACAGGTGCATCTTCCCCTTATCCACTGGGACGTTGAAAGTCAGTTGATCCCAGCTGATGACAAAGGATCCCGCAAATCCTATGAATAAACCACTATTCACAAAGGGCACTCAACAAAAATCCCAGTCTAAATCCAATCAAAAGACTTTGAGATTTGTTTCAAAAATCTCCATGTGTGCACATCAACGTGCTACACAAATATTGACACGGTGAATCCAGGCGAGTTTTTCACAAAAAATGTCTGTGTAAAATCAATGTATTTTCAATTTGGGACACCTAAAATGCTTTTGAAAATTTACACATATTTTACAACAACAGGCAAGTTGTTGTAGCGCAAAAATATGTAAACAAATTTAACTTGAAACCCCCTAATATTTCAAAGCTTTCATAAACAAGCACACCAATAGACACACAACTTATCTGTAGAGACATCTCAAGTGTGCTAGGATGATTGATATATCATTTTTGTGCCACCATCCTGACAGTGATAGATGCTTTGACACAGAGCATCTGTTTTGGAAACTCAACATCACTCAAAATTGACAACATGATAAATTTGTTACAAGAGTACTTGGCAGTCATTGGACATCCCTAATGGCTGTCAGTCAGTCTACTAGTGTGTGCTGCCCCTTTGAATTTTTGGCATGCCTGGTGTACCCTTTGACATGTCAAACATGCTGCACCAACCACCTGAGCTGGCTCAGGTGCATCTGCAACACATCAAGCCGGGGCCGGTATGGTGACCGGTCAGTATGCTATCTCAGCCCTCTCTGGGGTGCTACCACCACAATATTGGCCTGATTCAATAAAGATATTCCGAGTCTCTATTCATTCAATCACCTGCTTGACAATGCCTTTAGAATAATGGAAAGTCAGAGCCAAGTATTTCCCTGAAGGCTCAGGTTTATCATGTATGAGGGAGACTTAATTCATGAGCTAAAAGAAGTGATTAGTTAAAAGACAGGTCCTCCTTGGACTTGTACAAATTACTGTTGATTCACGGCACTCCGCTGAGGAAAGTATACTATAAGGAAAATGGTTGTACTTCCTTTTATACTGGTGGCAGGTGCTTCTAAGATATCCATTTCTTCACATTGTCTCTTTTGCTCCATAAACATGTCATTCAATTTTCTTCTCCAAATATTGTGTAAACCTTGATTGGCTCTTGCCTGAACCTGGATGATTCAGTGCAGTGTCATCCTCTTTTCACATTCTAAGGTAGTCTTTGTTGTTCTTACAATTCATGTCTTGTCCTCTGGTGTTTTGTTTTCTCTTCCTTAATGAATCTCCGTTCTTGAAAGACTCATTCATTGCTTTTACGCTTGGTTGGGTTACCCAAACTGTGTGATGGCCAAGACTCCGAAAACAAATTTTGCCACTGACCCAAGAGAGCCTTCCGATGTCAAAGGAGTGTTTGCCACAATTGGCACCTGCTGGCACGATGCATAATGAGAGCTCGTCGTGTAGCTAATTACCGCACCATATACTGTCGTTCTCAAAAAGCTTGTCCGAGTTTTCCCGCAAAACTCGAGCAATTTGGCGGGAAAACTTGGACAAGCTTTTCGAGAACGACAGTAAATAAACTTTGGATGTTGACGTCAAGAAAATCGCGGTTGCTATTGGCAATAGCGGTTGATATTATGGAACGGTTCTCAGCTGTACTTTCCTCTTGGAATCATTCATGTTCACGTGAGTCCTTGAAATCAACCCAATGTTGAATCAAATGGCATATGCCTGAAACAACCAACATAACAAACAAGTTATGAGGCATTGAATTTTCGCTTTTAACCCCATTCTTGTTTGTGGAAGTCTAGTGAGGTCTCTGGTGAGATGTTGAGTCACAACAGTCTGCTTGCAGAGTGCAGTACGTGCTTCGATGGGACGCCGAAAACTTCAGCTTGTTTCGCCCAGTCAACAAAACTGCACCGAGCTTGATATAACTTGACGACGTTCGCAATCTTCGATGAAGAGACACGTCGGGTACAAAGCCTCGAGTTGTCCACACTCAGGAGCTCTTCACAACACCCTCAAGAAAGCGATAACATTGGAATGAGTGTCGCCGAGTCGGGCCGGAAATATCGCAAGACACGATGATCACATCCTTGTGACCAAGCTCCCAATCACCTTGAGCATTTTCAAAAGTAGATTTTCAAAACTCTCTCCCAACGATCTCTACCCTTCTTTCTTTTTTTCTCTCGTCACAAAAAATTGACAAGCCTTGCAAATCTTTCGCACCCTGCGTCAAAAAAGAAAGCCTTGTTAATATCATTCAGCTCGTGCCTGGTATCCTACGATCCTTCCGGAAATCTTATCCTACAATTCTCTCAATCGCCAAATTATCGTTGCCTTCTAACACATCTCCGAAGGACATCTATTTCAATGTTTCCAGCACTTCAATTGAAGTGCCAGGGGAACATGACCCTTCAATCTGTTACATTGTTTTCCTTGATACTGTGTGTGTCTCAAGCGTTAGGTGATTACCCACTCACAGAATCTCAGACCCGTCGTGAGGGAAGCTATAGACAGGATATATCCTCTTTTTCCACTTCAAACACCAATGGGTCAGTCGGCTGTATCGTGATTACTCACTACATGATGATCCAATAGACTGATATGAGTTTGCTTCTCACGATCAATCAGAAATGGCGGAAACTCTTACAAGAACCGGTGCGGGAAGTGAGTGATATGGGATGAACTTCGTCTCACCAATGCATCAACAATTATCTGACCAATTTTGGCCCACAGACCTTACGAACCGTCCGCGCCTGCCCTCACAATACAAGGTCAATTTCCTTCTCCGCAGATGTCCAGAGGCCGTAGATTGGAATTTGGGTGCACGCCAGCGATTCAGCCTTACATCTCAACAGACAACGAAAGCACAATCTACATGGTTGTCGACGCTGTTTTGACACAGTATGAGACCACCAGGTCGATTGAGATATCACCTGAAACGTCAGAGTTACAAGTCGTGGTCATCAATACCAATACTAGTAAAGCCGTAGCGTCAGGAATGGTCAAAGTCCACACACTAGGCAATCAAATGAAATTCTCCTTCAAGGATCTCGGTGAACCGAGCATGAAAGCGTACAACTTAATCTGCCAAGCATATGTCAATGAACAATGGATAACAGAAGCTTCTACAAGCGTAAAATATCTACCCTCCAACTTGCAGAAAGGTATCGCAAGCGTGGTTAGAATGAATGCAGAGTCAGGAACATTGATGGTAACAGACGAAGGAGGTGAAATGATGCCCTTTATTCCATTTGGGTATGTATCATCATCCTAAAGTTTCGTATGAAGCAATATTGCTGTCTTTCTGAACACGATTTTGATTCTATCTTTCCTTGGTTCTTTTCGTAAATCAAACCACTCAGTTTCTTTGCTAGTGAGTAACTTTCTTTGCAGTATCTACAAGACCCACGGAAAGTATAAGCTCACGAATCAAGTTGCATCTCTACAAATATCTACAAATCGATAGCGTATGAAAACTATCTAGACTCTCCCAACCTATCACAGATCATACTGGATATGCAGAGCCGAGGCAGTAAGTCTTATTTCATACTGCGTGACGATTATTTTCTTCTATAGTTGGTCAATTCCAGAACAGCGAAGCGGAGCTAACCAGAGCTGAACATTATTCCATCGCGATTTCAGTTAACACCGTCCAACCTGTCGTTAGGGAACCTAGTGTTACGGATCTTGGAAAGTTAGCCTCAGTCTTGTCAAACTTCAGTCGGGCTGGGATGTGGATACAATATGATATGACGCGATCGTTCAAAAACACTAAACAGTTGAGCTTTCTTTAAACCACGTTAGAAGACTCTCAGAGAAATCTCTTATCTAGCTTCTTTCTAGACTAGCAAAACAGTTAAAAAAAATCAAGTCACATGGGAACTTATTAGTCTACCATACGGCAAATGAGTTGAGTGATGTTTAAAAAGTCTTTTCATCTGGTTGAAAGATCCTGACTAGAACATATTTTCAAAATTTGGCGAAAAAAATTCTTGCGCCGATGTCAAACCTGAAATCTTGAAACAAATCAGACCTGATGGGACTGATGAATCGGTAGATGCACTATTTCAGTCAAGTGAATTCATACAATCGATGGATCCTTACCGTCCGGTTTCCTTGGTGCGCGACTTTGGAATTTATCTTACGAAATGCTACCAACCGGTCTGACCAGTGCACAATTCCAACTATCTTGATAGACCTTGACCTGCGCCGACTATCGCTTTACGGACTATTCGCGTGATACTGATATTGTGATGACAGGTTGGTGCAGCGTGCTCCGTGCATTTAGTATCGAGAAATAGAGTTCCACACAATGCTGAGTTTTTTTGTTCTTCCGCTTCAAAGATCCATATATGATCGGCTTGAAATCTGCTTCGTTGAGTAACTTTTCTACCATGTCACTTGACTTGAAAGGAAGATGTACTTCATCCGCTGAACAAATCAACATTTCTCTACTCCCTGATGGAAAGCAGAGTCTCAACGACATTTGGCACGGTATGCAATTCAACATATGGGGATTGTGGTTGCGACAAGTAAGTCTCCTTCACTCGGTGCTTGATTTAAAAGACGACAGACACCTGACTGGAAACTTGACTTGAAGCTGTCGAGGCCAGTACTTAGATCTTTTATACCGATTGAGGGTATTTAGAGAACGACGACATTATCTCGGAAAAGACCGTACCATGCAACTCTGGGCAGTTCCGCAAGCATTTGGCGAACACGATCACTGGTCACGTTCACCAACGGGAGACGAATTTCTGCTAATGTGTACGGTATACCTTATTGAAGGAGCTGTCGGCTTGATGGGATGGAGAGAAGACGCAAAAACGACAGCTGACGTGAGTATCATACCTCAGACGCTTCTACCGTACTCAAACAGCTCGCAACTCGTTACGAATTTTGCGTCTATCAACCTGTTTTTATAAGATAACTCATTGATATTGATGATGCTCTACATCTTTACCACAGTTGAAGAAGGGTGCTGCTAAAATAGGAAATGCGCTTCCAGAAATCATGCCGTTTTTAGGTCTGCCCCAGGCTTTTCTTCCAATCCCACCGTCAACACCCTATCCAAATGATACATTTATTGCACGAGTGTGGCCAAATCCTAAGAACAACACAATGCTTGTTTTGGTGGCAAACCTGGTGGAACAGTCTGTGAATTGGACTATCAAACCACCAAAATCATCTTTTTTACCACAAGGTAAAAATATCGTAACAAAAACACTATATCTTTCAGAGGGAGAAGCTTCAGCAAATGTGACGGTCAGCGGGGAAAGTATCAGTCTTACAGGAACGATTCAAGGACTTGGTTGTGGTGCTTGGATCATTCCCATGTGAAGAAAAAAGTGTATGATCTCAACTTGTATTTAGTGCTTTTGTTTCCATCTTTGTACTTGAACATGTGGACATATGTCACTGGAAACTGCGTGTTTGATGGTAGATTATTATGCTATTATGGTGGTCAAACCTGTGCAAGAAATTTGCAAGACCGACGTGCAAGATCCGCGCAAGATCCGTGCAAGATTTCTTGCACCGATCTTGCACAAGTATGTTTTTCACAACCCCACCGTAATTACCCAAACTTCACTCATCATGCCACGTGTCTCATCCAGAAGACAAGTGATTCGAATGTTCAAGCGACTCGCCAATCTAGACTACCCTTATACCTCTCACAGTCTTGTTTTAACGCGAAAGCGAAAGGGTTTCCGCAGCTCAAGTTCAGGTTTCTCCGCCTTCTTCCAGCTACTACAGATTCCTCAACTTCAATCGGTGTTCAATCTGGAACCATATGTTTGTGTGGCTCTCTGGATGCTATTTCAACGACGACCGAAGCGTTTGCTCCAATCATCGGCGCGCCAAGCTGAACAACACCCACTGGCTTTATTCGATAATCCGGGATTATGGTCACTCGCAATTGACATGATCGAGCGAAAGCGATACTTCGAATCCAGGCGTCGCGAACCTCAAGCATGTCTAACGATGTTCAACAGATTTTGGGGATCACACGATACAACCTTTTTAACCCTTGTATGTTTGCTTATCCAGATATGAATTTTCAAGTTGTCTACAAGCTAATTGTTGGTTTCACTTGCATATCTAGGCTCGAATGAATCGGTCTAGCTTCTTAACATTACTGAACAAAATCGCATCGTCTGACTTATTCGAGAATCAATCAAACTGTCCGCAGGCCCCAATCGAGCTGCAACTGATTGTGACTCTGGCCAATCTTGGCCTTTCTGGAAATGGGGGTGGTCTGAATGTTCTCGCCCATATATTTGGCATTTCAAGTGAGTTTCAAAAATGACACGGTTGAAGCTATTTAATTAGTTACTTTCACTGACTTGATGCTTTCAGAAGGGAGCGTTGAAAATTACACATGGAGATGTGTGGTTGCGATTGTCCGATTGGAGAGAGAATATTTGTCCTGGCCAACCCCCACGGAGCGAGCGAAGATTCGACAAAATGTGGGCAAAAACGGTCCTTTCAAAGGTTGTGTAGGTTTTGTTGACAGTACCTTGATACCGCTTGCTTTTGGTCCTCCGAAGTGCAAAGAGGATTATTGGACTCGGAAGTTTTTTTATGCAGTCAACTCCATGCTTGTATGCACGCATGATTGTAGGATCACGTTTGCTCGGCATGGGTGGTGTGGCAGTGTGCATGACCAGCGAGTCATGCGTACATCTTCAGTAAGTTTGTTATTTTTTTATTTCTGGTGTATGGTATTCATTCAAAACACTTACAATGTTTGAATTTGGATGTCAAGTTGTGGTCGGACCCAAACAATTTTTTTTCAGAAGGAGAGTATCTTCTGGCGGATTCTGGGTACAGCTCCAACTCGTTCATCATTCCAGCTTTCAAAAGAGTGGGAGGTCTTCCTCTGACCCGCGAGAAGATGTTATTCAACAAACTCTTGAGTGAATTACGTGTTGCAATCGAACATTGTAATGGAATGCTGAAATCTCGATGGCAATCTCTGAAAGACCTACGATTACTCTTAAAGGACAAGAAGTGTGTAGCCCGTTTGAATGCTTGGATCTCAGCGTGTTGTATCCTGCACAACTTCCTGTTGGATCAGAATGAGGGATGTGCTTTTCATTATGATATCACTACTCCTGTGGATCCCGAAGACAAGTTCATTTTGAATGAGATCCGAGAAGACGATGATGAAGACACAAGAATGCGTGTATTCCGCCTTTTTTGTGAATTGTTGTAAACTTTTTACACTCTTTGTTTGTTTATCTGCTTAGGATGTTATTAGGTAGTAGCAATTTGAAAATATCCTTTTTCTTGTTTGCTGCTCGTTAAAGCGCTTGTGCGTAATAAGCAAATGAGAGCTAGAATTAAAATAATGAAATCGATTGCTTATTATCGAGACAACTAGACAGCTGATTCCAAAGTTTTTTTTTGGATTTTAGTTTGTAAAGCACACTGCAAAGGAAAGAATACAAAAAGGAAACAACAATTGATTTCAAGTTTTAAAAGAATCAAACTGGGAAATCGTTCACATGAGGTTGAAACAAATAACAAATTGCCTAAACAGGCTTTTAACAAACTCCCTGGGTATTATCCCTCCAGTTCCCCTATCATAGCAATCACGCATGTCAGTGTTGCCCAAAATCGTTTTGATTTGATAATGCAAATATATGAGGGTAGAACACTTACTACAAAGTTGTTCTTCTTGCTCTTCAACTTCTTTTTTAGCTTCCTCCATTGACAAACCAAGTGCCTTATACTTTGCTAACATAGCCAACTTGCGTTCGCTCCTAGCTGTAATGAGATCTTCACGGCTGCAAGCCAACTGAGATTTTGCAAGATCGAGTTCAACTCGGTCTTGCTCAAGTTTGATTTGAGCACGTTCGGTGCGTTCGGAATCCTTCAAAGCATCGTCTCCTCCGGAAAGGTGACGGGATAGTGCATCCGCCAGTTTGGCCTGAGTCTTAAGCTCTTCCTGTCGTGCATCTTGCTCAGCCTTCATGTACTTCTCTTCAGATAACCATCGATCCTTCTCAAGCTTGATTCTCTCAGATTTTTCTTCACGTGAGGGTAGTTGAGAAGATAAGAGATTGTGTACATCCAATGCTGAGCTAGAGGTCGACCTCAAACCTTGATTGTTATCGATTTGAGCTGATCTGGGTCGTTTGGCAGGTCGTCCAGGTGGGCGGTGAGCGCTTACACCTTTGCTTGACTTGTCTGGAGATGGTGAAGATCTTCGGGCTTGGGACATTGAAATAATATCAGGACCGTTGGACGAGATGGTGAAGTCTAAATCTTGGGTAAGCTCGCCATTGTTTTCCAAAGGACTTATATCAAAATCTCGGGTTTCGTGTAATGACGATATATTGCTATCTGGAGAGTGGCTACATGTGCGCTTGGTAGAGGGAAGAGGAAGAACACTATCTTCATCTAAAACATCCCCACTTTCACGTACGGACTGGGGTATCACATTAGTGCGAGTTGACATAAAAGGTAAGAGATCGTAGTAGTAGACGCATCGTTGGAACAAAAGCTCTAAATGAGAGTGATACACAATTGTACATAAGCATTTGACCTTTCAAAGTATGATCAGCCATGGAGGTAAAGGCACATACGGTCAAACTTTGATTTGGTTGAATGCTCTATTGCCTTCCATTCATCACTATCAGATGAAAAGCGACAAATCTCCTTTGTCGAGATACCTGAATTCCCGTGACAGTTTCTAGAAGTGAGTCTCAATCACTTCTCGTCACAATACCTGAAACACTAACCTGAATTCCCGTGACAGTTTCTAGAAGTGAGTCTCAATCACTTCTCGTCACAATACCTGAAACACTAACCTATAAGGTTTGTTCAGGTCACAATATAAAATAAGGAAAAGGGTCGACGCGATGAGTTCAGTAAGATTCTTTTCCTTTCCGTAAGAAGACGGATCAATTTCACCTGAATTCCCGTGACAGTTTCTAGAAGTGAGTCTCAATCACTTCTCGTCACAATACCTGAAACACTAACCTATATAGAACAAAAGATAGAAATAGACAAGTACAAAAAGGACACTACTTGTTAGATGAAGAGAATAGAAAGAATAGACCAGTTGACTATGTATCTGACCTATAAGGTTTGTTCAGGTCACAATATAAAATAAGGAAAAGGGTCGACGCGATGAGTTCAGTAAGATCTAGCGTCGACAATGATTCAGATGAAAAAGAAAAAGATAACATCACAGTATGATAATTAGTAACAGTCATATTGAAGATCAAACTAATGGAGAGTAGAGACTATTGATGATAATGTAGTGAAGGGGTTGAACTTACTCTTTTCCTTTCCGTAAGAAGACGGATAAAGGAAAAGAGTATTAGCGCGAAAAGGGGGAGGCGCAATTTAAATAGGGATCATTTAAGTTTGAGTCTGACATCTTAAGTTTGAATAAAACTACTGTATTTTAGTATGTAAAGTGATTTGATACTTAGAGTCTTATTCACCTTTCACCACGGCTGAAACCTAGGTACGAGAGACTGAGGTGTCTCTCAACACACCCCCTGTTTCAGCTGTCAGTGTATGACTTCTAAACCAATTTGATGACGCAATTCCTTGAATGGTCCGGGGTGAAGTGGTTTTGTTAATGTATCAGCAAACATGTTCTTTGTACTAATATGCCTAAGCTTGATTAAATTCTTCTCCACTTGTTCTCTTATCCAATGGTACTGCACTTCTATGTGCTTTGTTCTTGCGTGAAAAATAGCTTTCTTGGTCAAGGATACTGCACCTGTACTATCGCTGCATAGAACCGTGGCTTCAGATTGAGGTAGTGAGATGTTTGACAATAATCCTCTAAGCCATACTACTTCTTGACCAGCCTCTGTTGTAGCTTTGTATTTGGCCTCGGTTGATGATAGAGAAACGGTGGGCTGTAAACGACTTTTCCAACTTACAGCAGCTCCGTTAAGTTTGAATAGATAACCGGTAGTTGATCTTCGTGTGTTCGGATCACCAGCCCAATCTGAATCAGTGTGGCATTCAGGATAGCACCAGCTCTGATTCCCTTCGATAACATTGTCTTGAGGTGAATAATGTAGTCCTAAGCATTGAGTACCTTTCAAATATCGAAGTACGTGTAATCCCATCTGCCAGGCTATAGTTGAAGGTCGTGAAAGATGTTGAGACAGAGCACCTACTGCATAAGCAATATCCGGCCTTGTACCCTGAGCAATGTACATTAGGCTACCCACCAAGCTGTTATACGGAAGGTTAGATTGTTTGAATTCGATAACGTCAGAGTCGGTGGCTTTCATGATCTTTGTGCCGCCTGGAAAAGGAGTCGAAGCTGGTTTGCTATCTTCAGCATGAAATCTTTCCAGTACCGTCTGGATGAAAGCTGATTGACTTAAAGCATAACCCCCATTGTCTGTGGAGTAGATCTCAATACCAACAACGCAATGTGCCGGACCCAAGTCCTCCATCTTCCACTTCATCTTCAGCAGGGATTTGATTTCATCTATTTTATCTCCGGTGATTGCCATATCATCGACGTGGAGGTAGAGTAAAGTTTCCAAACCTTCTTCATCTTTACCATACCAAAGAAAAGCATCATGGGGGTTTTGAATTAGACCAATACTTAATAATTTATCTTTAACTTCGTCACTCCAGCATCTAGCGGACTGCTTGAGGCCATACAACGCTTTCTTCAGTCTAGCTACCTTCCCGTTTGCTCGCTCAGAGTCGTATCCTTCAGGTAACTCCAGATAAATTTCCTCCTTGAGATCACTATTGAGAAATGCGGCTATAGCATCCATTTGCTCAATAGACCAATTCTTAGCTGCTGCAACTGCTACAAGGATACGAAATGAAGCTAGACGGCCAGTGGGTGCGAAAGTATCATTGAAATCTATGCCTTCCGTTTGAGTATAACCTTTTGCTACATATCTTGCCTTATGTTTAGATATTGTACCATCGGGATGAACTTTATATTTGAAATGCCAACGCCCACCTACTACAGGTGCATTCTTTGGTCGGTCCACAATTTCCCACACTCCCATGTTCATAATGTTCTGCATCTCCTTGTCACACGCAGCTTTCCATTTGTCAGCATCGGGCATCTTCATAGCCATTTTATAACTCTTTGGTTCAGCCCTAGCCTTCATAGCTTCTCGACACATGTACACTTTTGATAAGTGAGAGGATTGTGAGATTTTTGGTACAAAACTTCTCATAGGTGGAGCTTCAGCCCAGTCTGATTCTCCTGGAGCGTAACGCTGGACAGGACGACAATCGCGAGTTGATCGTCTAGGCTCATCTTGCACGGATGGTTGAATAGTTGTTGTCTGGTCTTTGGTATTAGAGATTGGATCTTCTTCAACGGGAGGTTCATCCTCATGATTAATCGGAGGGGTTTCTAAGATAGTCTTAGGAGTGAGACTCTCCATCAACATATCATCTTCGTCATCCGTTAAATCAGGACGAGTCATAGTGTTCTCGTTTGGTTCATTTTCTGGCTCGTTCCTTTCTGTGGGTTCAAGCGGCAGATCTTCGATAAACAACCAATCAGGGTTGTCTTCGGCATCCTTAAGAAAAGGGAAAACAAGGGGTTGAAAAGTCACGTCGTGACTGGTATGGATTTGATTTGATTCTTGGTCCAAGATAATGAAATTGTGATTATCCTCCGCCACTCCAATCAGGATACCTGGACGAGAGACAGCCTCAAACTTTCCTCCTCGAATTTCTTTTCGAATGTGGCGGTAAGCAAGGCACCCGAAAGGAAGAAAGCGTTTCAAACTTGGTTGTCTTCCTTTCCAGAGGGCGTAGGGAGTAGTTTTAAGATTCAGTGAAGTTGTGATAGTTCGATTCTGTAACATGACAGAATATGAGACCGCGTGATACCAGTATTTAATTGGTATGCATGACTGTATCATCATGCAACGAGCTTTTGTGTTGATTGTTCTATTTGAACGCTCAGCCACGCCGTTCTCTTCCGGAGTGTGAGGAGACGTAACACGAGTGATGATACCCAAGTCTTCCAGGTATGGAGTAAGGAGCCCGTTGATGAACTCGCCTCCTCCATCAAATGAGAACATCTTAAGTTTCTCACCCGTCTGTCTCTCGGCAAAACTGATGTATCGTTTGAAGACTTCAAAGACGGTCTCGGCACTTTTGTCTGGTAGGCCAAAAGAGACTCGGTAACTACTATAATCGTCTGTGAACAATATATAGTATTCCTCTTGGTTGACAGAAGAAGTTCTAATTATTCCACTCAAATCCACGTGCACATTTTCTAGGAATTTGATAGCTCTAGGCCTAGTGGATGAAAATGGTAGGCGATGATTTTTCGCTAAAGGACATACTGGACATCTTGTTATTATTTCAAAATCATTTGTAGTGACAGTTTTAGGAAGTACATCATCAAGATAACCAAGGCTCCACATTCTTTTAGGGTACTTTTCACTTGGGTGGCCTAATGAATAGTGTAGTTTCAAAATTGTGAGTTGATTCGACTTTGATATTGATGATAGATGTGAACGATGACTGACCGGTGATCTTATGGCCACGTACATCATACTGCCTTCTCCGATAAATTGTCCTATGAATAGCTCCTTCTTCCCATGATCGATTCAAAAATGAGGATCTTCTAGCACAGTCGTAACAGCACCAGCTCTCAGCAAACGACCTCCAGCGATGAGGTTTCGGGATAAATCGGGTACATATAAACAATCCTTCAGCTTGATGATTTCTCCTTTAGAATTTAATAAGTTTACATTCCCAATTGAGTGGATATCGAGAGTAGCACCTCCTCCGGCGAGATTCAATTTAGCACCGGGGTCATGATTTTCCATTAATGTAGCGGATTCGAATAAGCTCGCATCATGAAACATGTGATGCGAAGCTCCGGTATCGATCAGAGCGACTGAACCACATTTATCTCCAGCACAGGTTACTTGAGGATCGGCCGAGCATGAAAACTTTCCATCAATCTCTACTCGGTAACTAACTTCTTTTTCTTCAAGTTTGAGATTTTCAAAAGCCATATCGAGTTCTTCTGAATTTGGGAAATCAGAAAGATTAGAATGATGATTTAATCCTCTGGCTAGATGAGCACCTCGGCCACCGCGACCTCTACCACAAAAACCACCACGACCTCCACCACGGCCACCACGTGGATACTTGATCCATTCTCCAGATTCTTGTTTGGATCGTTTCCATGACTCCATTTTGCTGGCATTGTTAGGGTGATGGTAACATTCCAACTGATCGTGAGGTTTTGTTGGATGGTCCTGACCTAGGCATTTAGTCTTACTGCAAGTTTGCCATCTTCCAGTCCGGCGGCTTTTACTGGCTTCGGAAGATTCTGCGATACGACTAGACTGTTGCCGATTGGAGGAAAACATTTTTCGAGTTTGGTAGGTTTTCTTCAATTCGGTTTCGAGGTTTCGGAATTTGACATGACCTGCGTCTAATAAATCACAGCCTTTTTCAGCCCAGCTTTGGTTGAGTGATCGGACAAATTGGCGAGCCTGTTCTTCTTCGGACATTTCACCGTTTGAACCTAGGTAAGCGTCAACTTTGGCTCTGAAGATATCGATATATTCTAATAAGTCTTTTGAGGAGGTTTGAGACAAATCAGTGATTTCGCTTCGTAACATGAGTTTGACCGACTCTGAATTACTGATATGATATTCGCGGATCGTCTTCCACAGTAAAGAAGGCGACGGTATCGTAATTTTAATACCGTTCTCAAATTTTGATATCATTGATATAAATCGAGTGGACTGAATAAGATCAATACTAGATAGTAGCCAGTAAAACAAGGCTTTCTTGGTGGCTGATAAGACTTCGGGGTCCATACCCGTACCTCCAGCATCTTCTGAGTCAAGATAATGGTCATAGGACGTGGCCATTAATCCAAAACGAATCGCGTCGGACCAGGCAACATAGTTGGATGTTGATAACTTGATGTTGATGGTAATCTTATGTAAGATTGAATTCATTTTGATTGACTGACGTTGAGCGGGCGTATCGGTGTCAATTGGTGCAGTGGCAGCCATATTAGCGGATGGGACAGTAGTATGCGCTGAATGAGCTGATTCGGATGAATTTGAATTCTCTGATTGATCTTCTGTCTGAGATCCGGCGTAAGTCTCGTCGGTATCCTCTGAGTATGGAGCTGGGGTGGATGCAGGTGTTGGTAACTGGGAATCGTCAAGTGCTTCTTCTCTTCCTGACATGGATTTGCGTTTCGAATGAAATAACTAAGAGCTGAACCAAGCTCTCGCTACCATGAAAAGCGACAAATCTCCTTTGTCGAGATACCTGAATTCCCGTGACAGTTTCTAGAAGTGAGTCTCAATCACTTCTCGTCACAATACCTGAAACACTAACCTGAATTCCCGTGACAGTTTCTAGAAGTGAGTCTCAATCACTTCTCGTCACAATACCTGAAACACTAACCTATAAGGTTTGTTCAGGTCACAATATAAAATAAGGAAAAGGGTCGACGCGATGAGTTCAGTAAGATTCTTTTCCTTTCCGTAAGAAGACGGATCAATTTCACCTGAATTCCCGTGACAGTTTCTAGAAGTGAGTCTCAATCACTTCTCGTCACAATACCTGAAACACTAACCTATATAGAACAAAAGATAGAAATAGACAAGTACAAAAAGGACACTACTTGTTAGATGAAGAGAATAGAAAGAATAGACCAGTTGACTATGTATCTGACCTATAAGGTTTGTTCAGGTCACAATATAAAATAAGGAAAAGGGTCGACGCGATGAGTTCAGTAAGATCTAGCGTCGACAATGATTCAGATGAAAAAGAAAAAGATAACATCACAGTATGATAATTAGTAACAGTCATATTGAAGATCAAACTAATGGAGAGTAGAGACTATTGATGATAATGTAGTGAAGGGGTTGAACTTACTCTTTTCCTTTCCGTAAGAAGACGGATAAAGGAAAAGAGTATTAGCGCGAAAAGGGGGAGGCGCAATTTAAATAGGGATCATTTAAGTTTGAGTCTGACATCTTAAGTTTGAATAAAACTACTGTATTTTAGTATGTAAAGTGATTTGATACTTAGAGTCTTATTCACCTTTCACCACGGCTGAAACCTAGGTACGAGAGACTGAGGTGTCTCTCAACATCAGATAAGTACCCCATCTCGGTTTTTTCAAGTCGTGCTTGTTGTTCTAAGTCTTCCAAAATACCTTGCCCAGTTCCACTTCGGAAGTCTTGAGCAATGGTGAAAGTCGATTGAAGGGTTCGGATCTAAATTAAATTCACAGATGCATACTTTAGTCAGCACCTTCAAAGTCGAGAGGATGTGCAAATACTGACCTGTGTCTCTACACCTTTCCCATCTCGACCTGGTAAACCTTGTTCGGCCAAGTACTCAGCAACTTTTTCCCCAACATCCTTTTTGCTGTAAATTGTTCGCGTATCCATATCCATCTCTCCCTTCCACCAATCATATTGTGTACCAGTCGTAGTTGCGGTTCCCAACCACTCGATTATTAGAACAATAGCGCTTTTCCCCTCAGAATTAAGTTCAGTTCTCCATGAAGTGTTTTTCTTTTCTTCATTTGATTCTTGAGGGTTTTTTTTTTGGTCTCTGACCTTGTTGTTGAATCTGAGGTCTTCCTCCTTGTGTATTTACGTTTTTTCTTTGGTGCATCTGAACTGGGCTCTTTTTGAGTCGAAGTACCCGGAGTAACCGGAGCCATAGTGATTGAAGGTGAGTTACTGATCGGAAATTGTTGGGTGAGACTATTAGATCGTGATAAATTCCAGCTAGTAGCATTCACTGAAGGTGGGATGATTGCGAGCTGAAGAGCTTGCCCAGTGATTTGACTTGGGCTTTGACCCCAGTTGACCGGCGATATGATCTGCAGGGGGGTGGTGGTGGTGCTTGAATCAGAAACGTGGGGCGATAGGACTTGAAGGTTTGGATCGAGGTGTATGGGAGTTAAGTAGGATTGACTTGCAGGGGGTGGGGGTGATTCAGGCATGGCTGTACAACTGATGCTCCTCTGGGAAACGGAAACTGAAATAAGTTTGGTGGCCTCAGCAACGAGGCTTTGTTAAGTCAGCATATGTAAGTCTTAAGTATGCAGATTTGGTGCAAGTTCCGTGCAAGATGTTACAAGAAGTTGCACAGAACTTGCACAGAACTTGCATAATTTCTTCTCGAAGTTTGACCACCATATATGATGAGTTTTTCTGGGGAATCTGATTTATGAATTCAATTAATCTGTGGACTTTGTGACCTTTTGTTTTCATTACAATATAACAACTTTCTTTGATTCCAAGAATCTCAAAACACAAACAAGAAAGGGTGTTCAAACCTGTGCAAGAAATGTGCAAGACCGACGTGCAAGATCCGTGCAAGATCCGTGCAAGATTTTTTGCACTAATCTTGCACAGTAATTTTTTTGACAACCCGAGTTATTGTGTTCCAAACCGTGCAAAAACCGTGCGAGACCGACTCTTGCAAGTTTTGTGCAAGATCCGTGCAAGTTCTATTCATATCTTGCACAGAACTTGCACAAAACTTGCATGAATTGATTTTGAGGTTTGAACACCCTAATTGTATGTAAATTTTGTCAACAGATACAACTGACCCAAACATCGCCTGAGTAATCATCGTGCAAAGTCAGTTCACTTGCTAAACACATCTGGAGGATGTGGATTATAAATATCGTTGCAGATGAGAAAAGAAGAGTATGGTGAACAATGACCTAGTACTACAACCACAGTTACCCACAACAGTTGCACAAGATTTTGAACATCATCATACTTGATTGCTATTGAATACCTGACTCACCAATTCTTGTGTTCAGAGTTTGTTGGCTTTGGAATGCGAATATTTTCTGATCTCATCGAATAGCAAATTTTTCCACTGTTGAAGGCTTTCTGTACTCAAAATTTCAAAAATGAAACTTAGAGAAAGAATCACTCTGAATAATTTGTATTAAAGACCAACTAAGATAACAAATGACGAAAGTAGATTGATCAAGTGTCCTCTGTTTCTATATGAGTAAGACTTCGAAACAAAGCATCAATGAGATGTCAAAAGAAAATAACACAGGTCAATCACTTCACAGAAATCGTACAGAAATTATACAAGCTCTACAAAAGATACTCAAGAAAAATTAGGATGCAAGAAGAGAGGCGGGATGATACTGTGACCGACTAGAATATTCGGCCCTAATGTCAAAGGTTGACAATTTGAGGTGAAAGTAGCTTTGCACTCGATCTATAAGACCCGAGGCCCATAGAGCTTGTTGCTCCACTTCTTAGGTGGAGCTACCTTACGCATTGCCAATCCTGACACGATACCAACATCGAGGTTAAAAAGACGTGTAAAGGCAGCTTTGCTGAGATCGGCATGTGAGACCCCTGGTTTACATCCTCCACAAAGATCAACAACTAAAAGAATTGAAGGTCAGTTTTGATGTCACCCTTACTTGCACACCTTCGAACCAAATCTAATTCTGCTTACCTCGTGCGATCACTGACTTGCCTTTCCGACGACCGTCATTAGCAATTATTGAGATCTCTAAGAATTCCCCGCATGCCGGTCGTTTATCCCATTTTTGAGTGACCGCAATGACTAACGATTCATCAGTCGGAGCCCATTTTGCTAGAGACAAAATGGCGAAGATCAACTCAATTGTTAAAAGGTGGTTGCATGGGAGTAAGGAGAAGAAAAGCTTGCTTACATTTATGTCCGCAATAGGGATTGAGCAGATCGTGACCAGTATACCAAGTGATAGTGGCTACAAGAAGAAGGGACGAGAATGAGCCTCAGAATTTGAAGTAGTTGGCATTACGATCAAGTGGCTAGACTCTGGGACTGACTTGGAATTGTGGCACCTTTCATAACGTCCTTGATCTCTTTCGAAGCCTTGGTAAATGAATTCACAAGGTTCTTTGCTGCGTCTTGGGCATGTGACTTGTGACGTTTTGTGAGAGTTGCTTTGCGAACCATTCGACGTTGATCAGGTCCAGAGTTTTTCTTGACGCTGCGGCGGGAAGAATATATCATGTTGGGTTCACGAGTGACGGCTAATTCAACCTCATCAGGGCCGTTGGCATCGGCACGGCGAATCAGGCGGACATCACCAATCCTTTTAGCAATATCTCGAGAGCCTGTGAGAGAGCGCCGGCGCCAAGGCATGTCTTCTAATAAATCCACGAGTGCTTCATCCCAAGACACAAAGGGAGAACCTCCGCTAGAAAGTGTAGGTGAAAAGAGAGATCCCGCGGTGTCATCTTCTTGCGGTACTTCAATGAGAGGAGGGCCGTGTGATACAGTAGGTGAGGTGGAATGTGATATCATGAGACCATATGAGGAAATCGGAATCCACATAACAGCTTCATCTGATGAACTTCCAAGCGCTTCGACTGAGAAACCTATTTTATGGCCAGTTTTTGCGTAAACTGATCCGAGGTTGTGCAATGCGAATAAAACTACTGGAACTGTGAGAAACATTTTGAAAAATAAAACTTCACGAAAAGCCGAAGAGGCTGAAGTCTAAAAAGGTGAAATGAAGGGAGATGTGTTTTGAAAATCAGATGATGGTATCTTAGTTGTAGGCTTGAAAGTTCTCGAGTGAATTTAGCTGCCGAAGATTCAAGTTTGAGATGAACAAAAGAGTCAACTGAAGACAAATATGAAAGAAAGTGAATGAAAATGGGCAATCATGGTTAGCTGTGATCGAAGGGCGGGACTTATAAGGGCACTTCCAAGGGACGGATGGAAACCGTTTGGTAATGAATTCGGCAATGGACTGCTAATCATAAGATTTGACCTCATCTGCCAAGAGTTGATAGAGATCTCTAAACAATAGAGAATGTGACATTTGCGAGTTGACCGTTTCGTTAAGCGCCCAGATATCAAATCGACTATAGACCCAAACTATCATCCGATTACTGACAAAGCTTCCGAATCCTGGATAGTGATGAATTCGAGCAGGTAACGGGATACCATTACTACATAGACCCGATCTCACTATCAGTTTATCCTGACGAATGCCAACGAGACATGATGATGGTACTGGAGACGATATCAACTTCAGTGTGTGATAAAGTTGGTGATAGAATTTTTGTGCAAATCATGAGTCTATGTGTATGCGTACAAATCAATCGACATCTTGACGTTCATGCCGCGGTCTGCACGCCTCAGCTTATCCCAGCGAAGACTTCATCCCTAACTGTTTAACCAGGACCAAGCCACCGAGAACATTCATCACCGATCAAGGAATCTTCAAGGTCATCACCAAGAGCGATTCATCTGTAGAAAATTCCAAGTAAATTGTCTGATAAGCTTTAAACGAAGGAAGGGATCCATGACCGACTAACCACTTGCTGTGCACACGCTTTGAAAGCCATAAATTCCGCTTTGCACATATCCTTCTCCACTTCTTTGTATCTTGCATTGACACAATCACCGTACCGCTTGGCCTAAAAAGTTAGATATCATACAAATTCGATAATTGGTCAATAGCATGCAACATGCTTCAGCCTAGAGACCTTACAAAAACGCACTGATTCTTTACATTCATTGGATACCAGCCGAGAAAACTGTGCTAATGGCTGCTGTCTGGTGGCAGCGGAAGTACAGGTGGCCGCCGAAGCTTGGGTTGCGACACGGGTTGACTTCATCATTCGGAGGTGTTGTCGTCAATTCCAGCCTCGTATGGTATCATCCAAGATTGGACCAAGAATGCAAGACTGGAGAGGCAAGCGTCACAGCGTCAAAAGTCCGACTCCCGAAGACAAAAGGGTGTGGAGACGGGACGGGGCAGGCCCACCATCTCGCAGTACCGCGGTCCAGGGCACGGCATCATGTCCTCATACGTCTACTCTGTGCACTACATGGATCTATTTGTGCTTAGACAGCGGTTGTTCTTAAATGCCATCTGATTCAAAATTCAAATGAGTCCGCTGAGGCACTCACTTGAAGTTTGACAAGCTTTTCTAAAACGAGTGTGCTTTATATCAGACAAAGTTAAAAGAAGTGGGTGTGCACATAGCACAAGAAGAGTATCATTTGGTCAGGAGCTTTGAGCGATAACTAGATTTGATGAAGTATCCTTCCATGTATAGGAGTCCTATTTTCGAAACCCATAACTCATATAGCTTCATCATATATATTTATAAGATACAACAGAAGCTCTTAAATTAAAAAACTACAACACAAAGCCGTTTTCTGATGATAGTTTCTTCAGATATGAATATCACCATTTTTAATCCAGCTCTTCAAACAACTAAAAGCTTCTACATCTTCTGCCGGTAAATCCTGTTCCAAAACTGCCAAGACGCTTCTTCTGTTGATTCCTTCACGAGATGATGATGCAGTACTAGCTTGAACGGTAAGATAAGACTGAGCCATACGTGAAAGACTTGGAAAGTTTTCAGCTTTATGTTTCCAAAACTCAAGTGGATCACAAGATTCTTCTGCTAATTCGGCGTTGAAATAGGCTGCGATCTCTGCATCAAATCCGGGAAATCTTTTCCGCCTCTTTGAGAACCGAGGACCATTGTCATCATCGCTAGAATGTCCGTCTTCTTCTCCGTTATTGTGATTATTGCCGAGGTTATATTGATCAAAAAGTTTGGCATGGTCATTGAATATTTCCTTGACTTCGTCGACTATTGAGCCACGCAGAGAGTGTGCTTGATCCGGAACGCATGTGAGCTTGATTCGAGGGTCAAGAACTGGACCACATATATACACTGGCTTTTGAATGGCCTTTCTTTGATAATTATCGAGGATCAATTGCATTTGGAGAGTCGAGATGAGCAACTCGGGATTGGAGTTGTCTGTCAAAAACTATCGACGCAAGACGAAAATCAGGGTCTAATGGTTCAACAGAGCCTTTACCAAAGGAAGCATCACTCACTCTTTTGGTTCTTTTGAGCAGCCACTCGTAAGTAGGCACCGCCCCCAAGAGCGTACAACGAGAAGTTGACATGAGATCTTTCGTAAGTCGTTCGAGTGGTTTCAAGATACGCATGAGATTAGCCACTTTGTCCCATTCATTCGGATTGATTTGTAACTTTGAAAATTCGGCATCTTGCATGCAGGCCATGTTGATGGCATCGCGTAACTTCATCGCTTGTTCGAGCATATAGTACGTAGCATGCCAAACTGGACTATAATCACAAAAGACTTCGAGGGGATCACCTTCGACGAGAAGACTAGCGGTCTCAAGAAACTTTTCTTTCACTTCAGGCGACGCCTTGAGTCGACCAGCCAGGCTATATAGGCGTCCGATGATAGTCTGATGATTAGCCATGTGACTGAGATCAACAGCGATACTGGACATCCCTTGATCAGCTTTGGCACTAGCTTTATCGTCCTCCTGGAATTGTGTCAAGATAACTTGACCTGCGGCGTCAATTGCGTGAGTCATGCATCCAATCAGATGATGAGTTGGATGAAATCGGTTGACAAGCTTGTTGAGGGCACCACCACTAAGAGCTGCTTCAGAGATATTATCGGCAGTGATACACATGATCTTGTCTTGGATACCATATGCTAACAGTGCGCGATGAACAGCTTCTGCTACATTATCCTCGTTGTGTGGACCGTCGAGTCGAACAAATGCGATCAATAGACTTTGAAGAGACCAATCATTATCGATCCAATGGGCAACAAGTTCAAGCATGGGATGGCCCGCCGGAGAAGTCCAAGCGTCGCAGGTCAGATTGATAAATGCGTCAAGACCCGCGAATCGAAGCGCAAGGGTAGCCCTAGCCGTTTGAAGTTGGTTGAGAACGTGTTCTCGCATCGCCTCAGGCTTTGCTATTAAGTTCTTGGCGGCTGGATTACATGCTTCGAGAAGGGCCACGAAGGTTTGATCCTCAAGGGAAGAATAATTGACGCCGCAGCTTACTATAAAATTACCCACGGCTGATAGTAAGTGCGACTCGTCGACTTTTTCAAAACTACGAGGTAATTTGCGTCGAGGTGTCGATTTGATTGATGGTTTAACATCTTTATTGTCTTCGTCATTGCCATTGGTTGGAATTACTGGAATAGATGAACTGTGCTGGGAATTGGGTTTCGCCATATTGTGCTTTCTTTGTAGGTGATTGATCATACTTTTCGTACTTCCACTCCTATCGACTGCCAGTTCCTTTAAACATAAACCTTCTCCTTCGAATTTGTTCGCATGACAGACGTTGTATGCTTTACCATCGCGTTCTGAGGTCTTGAAATAAGTCCATACCCAACTTGTACCAACTTTCGAATTTGACTTCATCTTTGACTTTCCTAATCGAACAAATGTAAGATTGGCTCTTATCAAAATTAGCCATATTGACTAGATGGTATGATGGAGCCAATAACATGCTTGAGATGCTCAGCTCATAAAAAAGAAACTCTTACGTTTCCTTGACTTCCTGCGTCCTTTTATCGATCGATCCGCGGATCACTTGGCTTTAGGCTAATCGGGCGGATATGAGAGAATCGGGTGGCGAGCAGGGTGGTGTGTCACCGATAAGGGAAGATTGGCGGGGGAATTGGCGGGGTGAAAAGTTAAATCGAAGTCTCACCTTCAATCGGAGCGTCAGCGCATACATGTAACATACATATGTAGTCATACACATACGGATATCACGTGATCTCCACCACATTGCAAATTGCGGGGAGACAGCACCGCTCACAGCTCGCGGTACAGTTCTCCAGAACAAAACCCACCAGACAGTCATTATATCCTCATGTAGGAATCCTCTCAGGTGTTTTTGGGGATTGCGCTTGGAAAGGAAGTACCCCCATCTACGGTTGCACAAGTTCCTTCAGGCTTGAGCCTGACTTTGGAGTATCTAATATCTCAAAACTTGGCATGATGTCCAAAACAGAACTTGTGTTGATCCAATGGTCAGTGGACTTTGGCCTCATTCTATTGGATGTATTCTCAAAGAGCCTTGCATTTTTTGTGCAATACTTCAGGGACTGATGTCAAAAACCCTCAAATTTATATTTCTCTAGTGAATTGATTGAGGTTGAATCAGGTTATGAATAAATGTGACTGAGTGGATGTTCAATGAAGAAGCTTGAAAATTTGAAGAATTCAGGTGATGATCAAAGCATGTAGTTTTTGATTTGCAGGGAACTTGAGAATACTTCCCACATAATTCTCCTGCTCAAGGTGATGGAGGGGTCAACAACCTAGGATTCTTAAATTAAAACCAATAACAAGAAAGTCTTGTATTTGGCACACTGAAGTAAACACTCCAAACAAGGAAAGACAGTAGAATTTGCTGGTTTTGAATCTGACTCTAAGTTATTCACCATTCAGATTGGGCTTTGAATTTGAATACTAGCTGAGTGGGATTGACTTGGAGTTGAGATCAGGGAAATATCCTGATCTGGTTCAAGTATAGACTTATGATTGAGTATACCAATTCTGAATCTCCTTAACTGAAAGCCATGTGATGTTCTCAGTGCTATGTAAAAGGTGATACCACGAAAACTGTGTAAAA